AGTGTGGCTGTCTGTGGACTCTCACAGCCACGTGTTTGCCATCTCCTGAAGGAGCTATCACAGTCCCCATCTCTGTGGAACTATGCTAGCCATGCTCCAGGGACACTTAGACCCAGAGAGTTCTCTGAAGGCTGACTGTGACCCACCGGGGACACTGTGCCCTGAGGAACTCAGAAGACCTAGAGGGAAGTCCAGGCAAGAGCGCCCCGAGATCCTTCCTCATACCCATATGCTCACTCGGCAGCATGGCTTGGGGTATCAGGGATGCCCAGCTACCTCTACTGCCTGCTGTTCCTGTTCACATCGCAATCCTGAAAATTAACTTGGCTAAGCCAGGTCTGCAGGGTGAACCTGTGGGTGGTCGTTACGGGCAGCTGAGTAAATGAAGGCCTTTGGAGGAGTAGCTGTGGTTAAGGGACATTAAGTGACTCACAGCAAAGCTGCTCATCCTATGACAACCACTGTGAAAGTGTCACTTGCAGGGAGGTGATTTGAAGCAAACAGGCTGTGCGTTTCAGTGGGGTGGGGGAAGCCACCCACAGGAATTCCAGCGACTCTGCAATGGCATTACAGGTTCTATTACTATAATCACAGCCCCTCTGCCACAGCGCTAGCCGGCATAATCCGAAAGGATTTCTAGGATTTTCATCCTCCCCAGCCAACTGGGTTTCTTCTTGGCCTGTGTGGCTGAGTTCACAAAATAAAGAGATTTGTGTTCGTCCTCCAGCTACAGCTCTGAGTGAAGTGACAGGCATGGGCAGGCTTTAAGGTCACCTGCATCTGCGCTGTCAAATAATAAAGGACTGAATGTTCTCTGTGGGGCCTCTCTGGGTTTTGGTGGTATTACTTGTTCATAAAAGTGAATTATTTGCTATGAGTCATTATTCATAATAGCAAAAAGTGGAAACAACACAAACGTCCATTTGGATAAATAAAATGTGGTATAACCATACAATGGACCATTATTCAGCCATCACAATGAACAAAGTACAGATATACACTGCAGCATGGGTAAGCCTTGAAAAGCGCAAGCCAGACCCCCAAAAAACACAAATCGTACGATCTCGTTTATATGAAATGTCCACAACAGGCAAATCCAAAGAGACAGAAGGTAGATTACTAGTTACCAGGGGATGAAGAGAGGAGAAAACTGGGAGTACCTGCTAACAAGTATGGGGGTTCCTTTGGGGGAGATGGAAATGTTCTCAATTAGATAGTGGTAATTCACAGTACGGTGAAAGCCAATTAAATGTACACTTTAAAATGGTGAAGTTTAAATTATATGAATTTTAACTCAAAAAAGTCCATTATTTGCTATGAAGTTAATTTTCTCTTGAAAGATCAAGCATCAAAATTATTCTAACATGCTGACTCTGAAAGCCTTCTCCGCGATGGCCCAAGGAATTGGGTGTTGGGGGACTCTGCAGCAGAGGCTGGTTTCCGCATGTGGTGGGTGGAATAATCACACCTCTGCATGCAGCCGTATACATGGTTACGGGTCACATCGCTGAACTGCATTCTCTGCTCCACTTCAAGGCTGGAGAGGGGCACACCACTCTGGCCTCTCCACGTCAGGGGCCACATGGGAGCCTTGGCCCCAAAGCACTCCTACTGCCAGTGCTTCAAGGGCTATGGCATTTAAGTAGGCAGAGTCTTAGCTTCATCAATGCGGAGGTGGGTCCTGGGTGACCCTATGAAGGGGTCATCACCTCCCCACAAGAGTGAGTGAAACATGAAAGCTCCCTTCTGTTCAATTAGCTTCTTTTCAAGGATCAGAGCCTGGCTGGCAGGGGGAAAATTCCACACTCTAATGAAACAAAAGGGAGCCAGAACGGAGGGCAGATAAAGGGCACAGGCACAACCTCCCTGCATTCTTTTCTCAGGGCACAGAACGCAGTCCTAAGTTCCAGAAGTTGTGATTAAATCTCAGTGTGCTTCCCTATGGCACACAGAGGAACCAGGTCTATTTCAGTATTTCCTTCATCATGGGATGAATCCATGGGAGTGTGAGAGGTGATTTTATTTGGTAAATGGACTGTGGCATGAAAAGTCCCTGAGGCACATCATGAGAAAGCTTCTCTCTTTTCAACTGTTAACCTTCTGATTCCATCAAGGAGAAAGGCTCTATACCTTTCACATCTCTCAGACTTTTTAACACAGAGAAAGGAGAGAGTCTTTGGTAGGCAATGGTATCTAGGCTAGAATTTATGAACAGAGTTTAATGGCATTGTGCTTATTTTTACTTTCTTATAGTAATTTAATATTTTTGGTATGTATGGCAAGCTTTCCACTTAAGGTAGTGATATGTCACTGTTAAATTGATTGAAGGTTTTCTTAAAAAGTCACTCTAAAGAAAATACAAAAGAAAAGTAGAGGTGGTATGCAGATAGAGCAAGAAGCATAAAGGTGACTCAAGAATGACAGAAGTTTTGGAAACTTCTTTTCCGTCACTTTACTAATGAACACTTTTTTTTTTTTTTTTTTGGGCGTCCCTGGGTGGGTGCGACTAATGATTGCTTTTAAAAAAATCTAAAACCATTCTGTCCTATCCATGCCATCTCCACGATCCTACTCTTTCTAACTCATTTTTCAGTGTATTTCACTGTACCTGTCAAGACATCACTGGATCAGAATCCAACGACCAAGAAAAACCAAAGGAATTACCATGAATCAGTGACGTTGGGAGACAGGGTGGTCTCCTGAGTAAAGACACCATCAGAAACCTGGAAGAATTTACCCGGGGAGAAGCTACCACTACTTCAGGAACACTCCCAACATTCAAGAAAGGATGTCTTTCAACTCTTCTGTAAGTTTGAAATATTTCATGATAAATGTTGAACAGCCACAACCAAAAAGGACAAGCAGAGAAGGTGGCATGGTCATGATACTCCTGAAAACTTGAACTATAAAATGAACTTACCAGTAATAGATTCTTATCAGTGCCGAAGGCCACAGGAGAAATGAGGCTACAAACGCCAGGATCGGGATGGCCAGCGTCCCGCCCGCGATCACAAACATGTTAACCACGTCAAGATCCATCCTGCTCTTTAGGGCTGGCTGACACCTGCAGGGGCTGAAGAGAGAGACAGTATTGAAACTCCGTCTCAGGGACTTCCCTGATGGCACAGTGGTTAAGAATCTGCCTGCCAATGCAGGGGACACGGGTTCAATCCCTGGTTCGGGAAGATCCCACATGCACTGGAGCAACTAAGCCCGTGAGCCACAACTACTGAAGCCCGCGCGCCTAGAGCCCGTGCTCCACAACAAGAGAAGCCACCGCAATGAGAAGCCCGCGCACCGCAACGAAGAGTAGCCTCAGCTCGCCGCAGCTAAAGAAAGCCTGCGTGCAGCAACAAAGACCCAATGAGGCCAAAAATAAATAAAAATTTTTTTTTAATTTAAAAAAAAGAAAGTCCATCTCAGGAGACAAGGTGAAGAAGCAAAGCAGAACAGAGAAGTGAATGACACAGAATGAGAGCAAGGATCAGGAGACAAGTGCTTTAAAAGATCTAAATAGGCAGGACAACTAAATGTAATGAGGAATCCTTAAGATGACCCTGGAGTTTTTTTAAAGCTATAAAGGAAACTGGGGACAACTGGGGAAATGTGAGTAAGAACTGGTTATTAGATAATATTATTGTATCAGTGAGTGTGGTGATGGAATTGTGGTTATGTTTATATGTAAGAGAACGTCCTTGTTCCTAGCGTCTGCTGAAGTATTAAGGGATAAAGAATAGTAATATATGCTCCTCACTTTTAAAAGTTGAGGAGAGAAAAAATGTATATGTGCGTGTGTGCGTGCATCTGTGTGTGCATTGTGTACATGCATGTATGCATGCGTGTGTGCATCTGCGTTTGCCCGTGTGTGTGCATGCGTGCATGTGTGTGTAGGGGAGGGAGAAATAAAGTAAGTGTGGTGAAATGTACTGGTAACCTCTAACTTTCCTACTAGGTTTGCAATTTTTTTTTTTTTTTTTTTTTGCGGTACGCGGGCCTCTCACTGTTGTGGCCTCTCCCGTTGCGGAGCACAGGCTCCGGACGCACAGGCTCAGTGGCCACGGCTCACTCCACAGCACGTGGGATCTTCCGGGACCAGGGCACAAACCCACGTTCCCCCCATCGGCAGGTGGACTCTCAACCACCGTGCCACCAGGGAAGCCCCTAGGTTTGCAATTTTTAAAAATGAAAAGTTAAGGAGGACAGAAGGCCTGGAAGGAAGGAAGGAAGGAAGGAAGGGAAGAGAGGAAGGAAAAAATACACATGTACACATGGATGCTTATCTATATACAGACTATCACTGGAAGGTGTACAAGAAACCAGCAACAGTGGTTGCATGTGAGGTGGGGAATCAGATGGGTGTCAGGGATAGAGGGAGACTTGCTTTTCATGGTCTACCCTTTAAAATCTTTGGTTATGTATCATGTACAGGCATAGACTTCACATATAAGTATATACAGTAAAACGTTAGGAGGGAACACATTAGAACAGCAGAGTTTTCAGTATACTTTCTGATGTCCTTCCATAGACTTGGTGGACACATCTGAAGGCTAGGATGTGAGCTCCAGGAGGGGAGGGACTGTATCCCCAGCATTCAGACTAGGGCCTGACCCATTTCTAGGCACTCTAGAAATCACCACTGAATTAGAGGTCCCCACCCAGTCCTGTCTCATGAACTCACTCACAACATGGTTTTTTTTTTTTCATGGAATAAAAAATATTTCAAGTTCCGTCATCCTCCCCAATAGAGAAAACAACTTCTGCAAGGATCTGTAAGTCAGGTGTGGCCCTTTGCCATCTGAGGACTCGGCCACTTGTGTTAAGTGTGCATCTCACTAACATAAAAAAGAGCCTTCTTCAAGAAAAAGCAAACATCTAGCAAATCATGGTCTTCCTTATATTTCCTGTGAAATGGAAGGCTTTGTCCCATACACCTCCATCAACTGATGTGTGTTTCAATTTTACAATGATTTCATGATGGCACAGTATGACCACTGAGCATGGGGGTCAGCCAACTTCTTCTGTAAAGGGCAGATGATAAATATTTCAGCATTGTGGGTTATAAGGTCTCTGTCGCAACTCTTCAAGCTTGTAGTGAGACAGCAGTCATACAACATGTAATGAATGGGTGTGACTGTGTGCCAATAAAACTTTATTGTAAAAAACAGCCTTCAGGTTGTAATTTGCTAACCCTTGATAGAGCACACCAACTCCATCAAACAGGCAAGGCGAGTGTTTTATTCCCTATATTTATAGGCTGAGGCAACTAAGGCACAGAGAGGTTAAGTAACTTGCCCAAGGTCACTCAGCTGGTAGTCATGATTAAAAAACAAGTTTCTGGCTTGGACCCACTCTCATTGCTCCTAACTCCAGTTGGTCTAATTTTTTTCAAATGGCCTTTTCTCAATCTTTGTAACCTCTCTGCTTTTAAATACCCACATTTGTCACCCCTGATTTCTCCATGAAGATGTGACATCTCCATTTAAATGTTTGGTCTCTTGTGAGAGGTTTGGTGAAACAAGCCCCTCGGTCTAGAGGGGGAAACAGATACATCTGTAGGTGGGTTAGATGGTTCCTTTCAGTTTCACACACACTCTATCCGGGGACAGTACTGAGTCTACGGTAATGAAAGCTGCCGCCTTCTCAGGGGCAGAAGCACTGTCTGTGTTTCTGATTCAACTGTCCTCTCAGTTTCTCAGTCACTGTCAACACTTTTTCCAGCACACTTATATCACCGGGCTCGTTCTCCTCCCAGAACCAGAGCTCCTAGGTGGTAGGAATAACCATACATGTTCTTTCTAGTGCCTAGAATAAGCACAGTACACAAATAAGGTGCACATGAATTAACGAAAATCAAAGCGACAAAATGGGTTCAATCCTATTTGTTTTAGGGACAACCATTCCCAATGATGCTCTAAGAGACCTGACTTTTCTCTCTTTCGATAATTACAAAACTCCCCAGGAGTCACCTATTTAATGCTGGGTACAATTTACGATGCTACAAAGGCCCCACTGTCAAGGGGTAAGCAAATTAATCACAGAGTGAAGGGTATCTTACGAATCTATTTGAATAGTGTGGGTCACAAGAGTTGCTGAAGGTGGGAACTGTCGGATTCAAGAGGACTTTTCCACATCACATAAAGGCCTTAAAAACTGCTGAGGGTCGCCGTGAATTCTGATTTCTGAGATGCAGAAAGTTAACTGCATGCTGTTCTTTTAGACTAGGAATTAGAACATTTTATGCCCAAAGCCATAGATGTCACAGACTCTGACACTGGAGATGGGAGCCCCAACATGAAGTCATGATCATCAAAAAGAAAGCTCATGGCTTCATCAATGCCTGCTAGGGATGTCACAGTCAGTTTGGGGGAAGGTTTTATCTGGCTCCATCCTCCATTTAATGGCAGAATAAAGTCTTTAATAAGGAGCTTTTACAGAGCATCATCAATTTAGCAAGGCTTGGACTTGTTACAAAGAATCCTGCACACTTTCCCTGATGACATCAAATACAGACAGGCCCTGAGTGAAGACACTCATGTTTTCTGAGTTTTCTATAAAGAGCTGACCGTTATTCCTACCTCTGCAACATTCTTCGTTTTACAAAGGACTTGCCCCAGCCTTTGAAAAGGCAGCTGCCCTACCCTGCTGGGGTTTGTTTATAGGATGTTCTATGTACCCAAGGCGGAAGCTGGACACAGAAAAACTGAAGCCTTGTGAACCCAGAATCACTAATGACTAAACATCAACTAAGGGGTAGAGCGTGGAGTTTCCCTAAGCACAGGGCCCAAACAACTGATGTTTGCGAGATGACTTCAGGGGGCAGAACACTCAGGGCTACACAGCATCAGGTAACACTCACATTCACACTGAGAAAGTCATCTCTTTGCAGTTCTTTTCCCGCCCTGCTTAGGTCAAAGAGAAACTCTCAGTGTGGTTATAAAATAGCTTTCTAACCCTTGAGCCTCCCGCAGGCAACGGTATCTAGCTATTTAATAACATTGTGTTGATTTTTATGGATATTTTCAGTTTATGGTAGTGATGCACATTAATCTAAGTTAAAAGAAGGAAATGAGTTAAAGAAAAATGCTAATAGGTGATACACGGATCTGGTGAACATCATGGTGGTGACAGATGAATGGCTGCCACTGGGGCAGATGTGTGTGATGGACGGGCACGCGGCTGGGGGTGGGGCGCTCCGCTGGCTCTTCCACGCACCCGCTGGGAGACCTTGGTTTCCTCATCTATTAATGAGAACATTCGTCCAAAACATCTCATCAGCCTTTTCCTACTCTGGTGACTTAAAACATTTCTGAAATTATGCCAGACAATTGAAGAGTAGGATCTGGCTCACTCCCCACGAGAATCTCGTTCCCTGTTACATTTTTCCCAAAACCTAAAACAGTATCTGGGAAATATCTGGTGCGTGGTTAATGTTTGATATCGTTTTGGTGTTTGATAATGGCTGAATAGACTGAAAAAGAAAAATGAACTTGTTTTACGTATCTGTTGTGTCACGTGAGACACCCCAGTGTTAATGACAGTGATTTCAGCGGCTTTGCAGCACATCCAAGCTGTGCATTCAGGGCCTTTATCTCTGAACGCAGGGACAAAAATTAATCAGTAGATCCAGATAAACATTGGACTCATGTTCCCAAGTTTAGTCAGGGGTTAGAGGTCAGGCATAACGTGTCACAATTGTCTTTTAATGTTCTCACTGACTTTTAAAACCCATCATCCTGAGTTCTGATACTTTAATCTTAAGGTATAAAGCAAAATTCCAAGAATAAATAGAATGTAAAACATTTTTATAGAATCTTGCCTTCCCCTGGACATCTACTCATATGCCATCAATTTTGACAAACTAAAGTCCTGGTCTCTTCAAAATCATGTTTATTTTAATAACTATAGCAACAACAGTAATCACCATGGCCACTACCACCATAGCCAAAGATAGAAGAGCGACAGCCTCCATGTATTGGACGACTGCTGTATGCCAGGCCCCGTGTAGATGGTTCACATACATCCTCTCATTTTATCCTGCACAACACTGGGAGTAAGAAGCACTTCTCCCATTTTAAAGATGGAGAAACTGAAGCTTACAGAAGTTAACAAATGCCCCCAAGGTCACCTGACTGGTACCTGGCATGAGCTGCATTTCAGTCCAATCCTGTAGGTGTGCCTGGTTCATGCCACCTTTGCCTCTTCTCTCAGCACTTGCTAAGCAGGTATTTATTGTACGTCAGTTACACAAAAGGCCCGGAGTTCAGTGTTCCCAGTTCAGTGGTCCCACAGACGTTCTTTGCACTTCTCCAGAACTATTTTAAGAGGATGTAACATGCTAACTTTACAAGTTAACAACTTGTTACCTTATTGTTGCTGGTGTCTTTGAAAAACTAACCAGTGCTGGGACTTCCCTGGTGGTCCAGGGGTAAAGAATCCGTCTCACAATGCAGGCAACTAAGCCCTGTGTGCCTCCACTAGAGAGCCTGCTACAGCCCACGTGCTCTGGAACCCGCGCGCCACAGCTAAAGAAGAGAAAACCCGCACACCACAACGAAGAGCCCATGTGCCGCTACTAAGAACCAACACACCCAAAAAATACCAAAAAACAACAAACAACAACAACAAAAAACTAACCAGTGCTGCTCATAACTTTTTTTTTAACTCTGCAATATGAAAATTCTTTCCACAGTGTTGTCCACCTGGAAAAAGCACTAAGTTCTTGAAATCTGAGTATAAAATCCCAGCTGTTAAACATTGTTGCATCTACCCAACACTGATTTCTGAAACTAGGTTCTTTTTTTTCAATAATTTTTATTTATTTATTTATTTATTTAATTTATTTAGTTTTGGCTGCGTTGGGTCTTCCTTGCTGCGTGCGTGATTTCTCTAGTTGCAGCAAGCGGGGGCTACTCTTCGTTGCAGTGCGTGGGCTTCTCTTGTCGCAGAGCATGGGCTCTAGGCACACGGGCGTCCGTAGTTGTGACTCACGGGCTCTAGAGCGCAGGCTCAGTAGCTGTGGCACATAGGCTTAGTTGCTCCGCGGCATGTGCGATCTTCCCGGACCGGGGCTCAAACCCATGTCCCCTGCACTGGCTGGCTGATTCTTAACCACTACGCCACCAGGGAAGCCCTGAAACTAGGTTCTTGTAAAGATAAACCAATTCCTCAAAATTATCACTAGGGCTTCCCTGGTGGCACAGTGGTTGAGAGTCCGCCTGCCGTTGCAGGGGACACGGGTTCGTGCCCCAGTCTGGGAGGATCCCACATGCCGCGGAGCAGCTAGGCCCGTGAGCCATGGCCGCTAAGCCTGAGCGTCTGGAGCCTGTGCTCCGCAACGGGAGAGGACACAACAGTGACAGGCCCGCGTACTGCAAAAAAAAAAAAAAAAAAACTATTACTAATGACCAACAGCTAAAAAAGATACTAAGATTCTCTTGTATGGAAGCCCCAGGATTGATGAGATAGAGTAATTTGAGAAATGAGCAGCTCTAACGCCTTGTCACAGGAATCTTCTCCATCACGAAGGAAAATCGCACTGAAAGTTCCAAGGAAGTAGTTAAGCCTGCCCAGTCATCACTGAACGTGTGGCATGACCCCAGGATTGCTGCCATAAGGTGCTCACCTCTGCCCTCCTGGCCTTGTCTCCCCCTCACTCTGGCTGAGCCCATTCCTCCTCTGTACTTTGCAGCTCAGACACCCCTGCTGTTCAAACAAGCCATGGCTCTGAGCATGCAAAGCTTGGTTCCTAAGATTCTCTGCTCCCGCTCTCCCCTGGATATTCCCATGATGCGCTCCTTACTTTTCCCCTTGAACAGTCCCATGATGAGCTCTTCATTGTCTTCCTTGAAGAGCTCACCATATCTACACCCTCTGCCACTCCCTCCTACAGGAAACGCAAAAATCAACATACCTGGCCAGGACCTTCTTCCAGACTTTTCCAAAAGCCTGCTTCACTATCTCCATGACCCAAAAGTCCTGTCCTACAAGGTCTCAGGTACCTCTCTCCCCTTGCTCCTGACTTGTCGATTTCTGCCAACAGTATTCCCATCAGTCTGGCCTCCCAGACTCCGATGCATGTTTCACTCTTCCTCCTTGCTCAACACTCCTGTCAGGCAATGGCAACGAGGTGCCAGCGCTGGAGCCAACTTGTCTGAGTCTAGACAAACTGCACTGTTTATGGGTGGCTATTTAAATTTAAATTAATTAGATAAAATTCAAAGTTCAGTCCTTCAGTCACATCCATCACACTGTAAACGCTTGAGAGCCACGTACAAATAGGAGCTGCTGCGTTGGACAGCACAGTTTTAGGGGGTCTACACCCCCGAAAGCCTGTGCAACCAATTCCTTTGGCTTAACATTTACTAGGAACGTCGTGGGGGAAGAAACATTCCCACCAGGTGTGAGACGTCGTAGGAGTCACACCACAGCTCCCTCAGCCGCCACACTGCGTCCAGGTCGTCATCTCTCCTTGCTCCCACTTCTGTGAAGACTGCCCTTTCACGCCCCGTTCAGTCCTTCCACCACCAGCTGCCAGAGGAATCTTCTCAGTTCACGCCAAGGACGGGGGGGCTCTGGTCTAGTGTGAACTCTGAGTACTCCGTATTATCCCGACTCAACTTCCTGGCCCCCACCTCTGCCTGCACCCCAAACATCCAACTCCTGCCCCCACAAAAGCCCCACACAGCCTCACACTTCATCTTTCTCACACTGTCCCCTTCGTGTGGAGCACTCCTGTCCCACCTGCCTGATGAACTCCTCTCTGTCTTTGGGGCTGATTCAAGTGTCACACTCCCCAGGAAAGCACCCTGGTCCCCACAGGCCCAGGTCTTCTCGACTCCCTTCAAACTCAGAGCCCTGCTCCAGGCACAGCCTTTGAGAAGGGAGGGCTTTTGGATATATATCTTGAGCTTTAAAAATCTTCAGGTGCCCAATCCCCTCCCCACCAGACCTACTGAACCAGAGAACACTTCTGCCCCCAGACAGGCTGGTCTGCAGAAGGGTGCCAGGGAGCTTACAGAGTAGCCCCAGTCTCATTAAAGGGCTGCCTTGCCCGCCCGCCCACCCCATAATATATGGTGTTAAAAATCTATACTCACTCTTCGAAGAGCACAGCCTTCTTTCCCAACTGCTACTGGCTCTGGCAGAAGCTGAAATTGAGACTCTGGAATCACAGGAAAGAAAATGACAAAGCATTAAATCATATTAGAGAATAGGAATGAAGTGCTAACAACCAACCGGGGAGGCGAAACATCTCCTCCTTGGCACAGGAGAAGTGCAAATATCCTGTGGCTTTCAAGCTCCCTCCGGTTCAGGTCACCTTCCCTAATTAAACAACCTGCACCAAGGGTAGGCAGGGCAAGTTGAGATAAAGAGCTTGGCCAGGAGGGTGTGAAGGTCAAAGAAGGAATCTGCAATGAGGATAAAGCAAGGAACTGAGCTGGTGATTCCTGGCCTGCAGGAGCAAGAAAGGCAATAAGGGAAACAGGCATGCTTGGGTGAGAGCGGATACTGAAGGCTTGAAACTTAACTAAGACCTTCAAATAAAGATGAAAACTCCCCTTCTCCATCTGGGGTTAGGGTTACCTAAAGTTATACTCAGAAAGGAATGAGAGGAAGGTGGCAACCAATGGGAAAATGAATACAGTATTTCTATTAGAGTGGCTACAGAGAGGGGACCGCAAAGCTCAAAAACAGGGCTGGACAGAGCAGAGATGCTGGCAAAGGCACTGCAGCAGAAAAATGAGGAGACAGGTAGATGGGTGATTGAAAGTCACAAAACCCCTGAATTATTCCAGAGGGGTCAAGGAATTAAACAAAAAAATAACACCGAGATAGCCTCATCCACCAGAGAGCAGACAGCAGAAGCAAGAACTACAATCCTGCAGCCTGTGGAACAAAAACCACATTCACAGAAAGATAGAGGACTATGTACCAGATGAAGGAACAAGATAAAACCCCAGAAAAACTACTAAATGAAGTGGAGATAGGTAACCTTCCAGAAAAAGAATTCAGAATAACGATAGTGAAGATGATCCAGGACCTCGGAAAAAGAATGGAGGCAAAGATCGAGAAGACGCAAGAAATGTTTAACAAAGACCTAGAAGAATTAAAGAACAAACAAACACAGATAAACAATACAACAACTGAAATGAAAACTACACTAGAAGGAATCAATAGCAACATAACTGAGGCAGAAGAACGGATAAGTGACCTGGAAGACAGAATGGTGGAATTCACTGCTGCGGAACAGAATAAAGAAAAAACAATGAAAAGAAGTGAAGACAGACTAAGAGACCTCTGAGACAACATTAAACGCAACAACATTCGCATTATAGGGGTCCCAGAAGGAGAAGAGAGAGAGAAAGAACCAGAGAAAATATTTGAAGAGATTATAGTCAAAAACCTCCCTAACATCGGAAAGGAAACAGCCACCCAAGTCTAGGAAGCACAGAGAGTCCCATACAGGATAAACCTAAGGAGAAAAATGCCGAGACACACAGTAATCAAATTGGCAAATATTAAAGACAAAGAAAAATTATTGAAAGCAGCAAGGGAAAAATGACAAATAACATACAAGGGAACTCCCATAAGGTTAACAGCCGATTTCTCTACAGAAACTCTACAAGCCAGAAGGGAGTGGCATGATATACTTAAAGTGATGAAAGGGAAGAACCTACAACCAAGATTACTCTACATGGCAAGGATCTTATTCAGATTCGATGGAGAAATCAAAATCTTTACTGACAAGCAAAAGCTAAGAGAATTCAGCACCACCAAACCAGCTCTACAACAAATGCCAAAGGAACTTCTCTCTAAGTGGGAAACACAAGAGAAACAAGGACCTACAAAAACAAACCCAAAACAATTAAGAAAATGGTAATAGGAACACACATAACGATAATTACCTTAAACGTGAATGGATTAAATGCTCCAACCAAAAGACACAGGCTTGCTGAATGGACACAGAAACAAGACCCATATATATGCTGTCTACAAGAGACCCACTTCAGACCTAGGGACACATACAGACTGAAAGTGAGGGGACAGAAAAAGATATTCCATGCAAATGGAAATCAAAAGAAAGCTGGAGCAGCAATACTCATATCAGATAAAATAGACTTTAAAATAAAGAAAGTTACAAGAGAAAAGGAAGGACACTACATAATGATCAAGGGATCAATCCAAGAAGAACATATAACAATTATAAATATATATGCACCCAACATAGGAGCACCTCAATACATAAGGCAACTGCTAACAGCTATAAAAGAGGAAATCGACAGTAACACAATCATAGTGGAGGACTTTAACACACTTACACCAATGGACAGATCATCCAAAATGAAAATAAATAAGGAAACACAAGCTTTAAATGACACAATAGACCAGATCGATTTAATTGATATTTATAGGACATTCCATCCAAAAACAGCAGATTACACTTTCTTCTCAAGTGCGAGACAGAACATTCTCCAGGATAGATCACATCTTGGGTCACAAATCAAGCCTCAGTAAATTTAAGAAAACTGAAATCATATCAAGCATCTTTTCTGACCACAACACCATAAGATTAGAAATCAATTACAGGGAAAAAAACATAAAAAACACAAACACATGCAGGCTAAACAATACGTTACTAAATAACCAAGAGATCACTGAAGAAATCAAAGAGGAAATCAAAAAATACCTAGAGACAAATGACAATGAAAAATGATGATCCAAAACCTATGGGATGCAGCAAAAGCAGTTCTAGGAGGGAAGTTTATAGATATACAAGCCTACCTCAAGAAACAAGAAAAATCTCAAATAAACAATCTAACCTTACACCTAAAGGAACTAGAGAAAGAAGAACAAACAAAACCCAACGTTAGCAGAAGGAAAGAAATCATAAAGATCAGAGCAGAAATAAATGAAATAGAAACAAAGAAAACAATAGCAAAGATCAATAAAACTAAAAGCTGATTCTTTGAGAAGATAAACAAAATTGATAAACCACTAGCCAGACTCATCAAGAAAAAGAGGGAGAGGACTCAAATCAGTAAAATTAGAAATGAAAAAGGAGAAGTTACAACAGACACCGGAGAAATACAAAGCATCCTAAGAGACTACTACAAGCAACTCTATGGCAACAAAATGGACAACCTGGAAGAAATGGGCAAATTCTTAGAAAGGTATAACCCTCCAAGACTGAACCAGGAAGAAATAGAAAATATGAACAGACCAATCACAAGTAATGAAATTGAAACTGCGATTTAAAATCTTCCAACAAACAAAAGTCCAGGACCAGATGGCTTCACAGGTGAATTCTATCAAACATTTAGAGAAGAGCTAACACCCATCCTTCTCAAACTCTTCCAAAACACTGCAGAGTAAGGAATACTCAAAATCTCATTCTATGAGGCCACCATCACCCTGATACCAAAAGCAGACAAAGATACTACAAAAAAAGAAAATTACAGACCAATATCACTGATGAATACAGATGCAAAAATCCTCAACAAAATACTAGCAAACAGAATCCAACAACACATTAAAAGGATCATACACCATAATCAAGTGGGATTTATACCAGGGATACAAGGATTCTTCAATATATGCAAATCAATCAGTGTGATACACCATATTAACAAACTGAAGAATAAAAACCATATGATCAGCTCAATAGATGCAGAAAAAGCTTCTGACAAAATTAAACACCCATTTATGATAAAAACTCTCCAGAAAGTGAGGCATAGAGGGAACCTACCTCAACATAATAAAGGCCATACACAACAAACCCACATTCTCAGTGGTGAAAAACTGAAAGCATTTCCTCTAAGATCAGGAACAAGACAAGGATGCCCACTCTCACCACTATTATTCAACATAGTTTTGGAAGTCCTAGCCACGGCAATCAGAGAAGAAAAAGAAATAAAAGAAATACAAATTGGAAAGGAAGAAGTAAAACTGTCACTGCTTGCAGATGACATGATACTATACATAGAGAATCCTAAAGATGCTAGCAGAAAACTACTAGAGCTAATCAATGAATTTGGTAAAGTCGCAGGATACAGAATTAATGCACAGAAATCTCTTGCATTCCTATACACTAATGATGAAAAATCTGAAAGAGAAATTAAGGAAACACTCCCATTTACCATTGCAACAAAAAGAATGAAATACCTAGGAATAAACCTACCTAGGGAGACAAAAGACCTGTATGCAGAAAACTATAAGACACTGATGAAAGAAATTAAAGATGATACCAACAGATGGAGAGATATACCATGTTCTTGGATTGGAAGAATCAATATTGTGAAAATGACTATACTACCCGAAGCAATCTACAGATTCAATGCAATCCCTATCAAATTACCAATGGCATTTTTTACGGAACTAGAACAAAAAATCTTAAAATTTGTATGGAGACACAGAAGACCCCAAATAGCCAAAGCAGTCTTGAGGGAAAAAAACAGAGCTGGAGGAATCAGACTCCCTGACTTCAGACTATACTACAAAGCTACAGTAATCAAGACAATATGGTACTGGCACAAAAACAGAAACATAGATCAATGGAATAAGAGAGAAAGCCAGAGATAAACCCACGCACCTATGGTCAACTAATCTATGACAAAGGAAGCAAGGCTATACAGTGGAGAAAAGACAGTCTCTTCAATAAGTGATGCTGAGAAAACTGGACAGCTACATGTAAAAGAATGAAATTAGAACACTCCCTAACACCATACACCAAAATAAACTCAAAATGTATTCGAGACCTAAATGTAAGACTGGACACTATAAAACTCTTAGAGGAAAACATAGGAACAACACTCTTTGACATAAATGACAGCAAGATCTTTTTTGACCCACCTCCTAGAGTAATGGAAATAAAAACAAAAATAAACAAATGGGACCTAATGAAACTTAAAAGCTTTTGCACAGCAAAGGAAACCATAAACAAGATGAAAAGACAACCCTCAGAACGGGAGAAAATATCTGCAAACGAATCAACGGACAAAGGATTAATCTCCAAAATATACAAGCAGCTCATGCAGCTCAATATTCAAAAAACAAACAACCCAATCCAAAAATGGGCAGAAGACCTAAATAGACATTTCTTCAAAAAAGACATACAGATGGCCAAGAAGCACATGAAAAGCTGCTCAACATCACTAATGATTA